AGCTAATACTAAGTAGTCCATAAAAGGTAAGTTGTATGAAGCCGCATTCAAACCTCCAACTTTTCGTCTTCAAAGCGAGTTATTGCCTCCGCCAAGGAGGTTACCACTGCTGTCTGTCTGTCTGTTAGCAAGATTACGCATAAACTAGTGAATAGATCGTCATAAAGTTAAGTGGAATGACGCATAATAACCAAAAGAAAGACTCCTTTTAATATTCGGAAAAAAGGCCAAAGGACAAGATCAGGGAGGGTCACGAAAATTAGATTTTTTTTACCCTCGAGCATAGAAGAAAATAATGGAATCGCCCCACGTATTCATGCAGCACTCAAGAAAACAATGTGCCTGAATACGATGGGCGATTCTATTATTTTCTTGAGGGTATTATGCAGCACTCATGAAAATAATGTGCCTAAAAACGATGGGATATTCTATTTTTTTCCCTTTTATTACGGGTATGTTCCAGTTTCACCCATTATACACGGCCTGCGTATTGTTGGTACTGTCAGGAAAAGGGCGGAGGTATGCACTCAATGCTGACTGCCCTAGTTAGGAAGGTTATGTTTTCTCATAGGAGTAAATTTGTGAAAAATGTTGAGCGCAGCGCAGTGGATATTATAGTATAATTCAATGGCGATTGGGCGTGGCTTGCAAGAGTAAATTAAAGGAATGGTTGACGCGGAACAGTACCATTGCAGTAAAACAAAAATGGTTGAGCGTGGTATGAAACCTGTGCGGATATCCAGTGCGAGCAAGCGTTTGTGTCATGTGGTCATGCTAACCGTCCTTCATCTGTTTTCGAGTGTTTGTTTAGCTCTTTCAGTAAATTCTATGTTCTGTCAAGTGACAATGTATTCATTTTGTGGCCTATGTATAGTAACAAATACAGGCCTACAGTATACTATATATATATATATGTATATATATATTTATATATATATATAGAGGCCTATAGGTTGTAAAATATATATATATATATATATTTATATATATATATATATATATATATATAGAGGCCTATAGGTTATAGAATACAGTTAATTGGTCACTACTTAAGAATTTATTAGGGTATCACCATCATGCAATGCCGTAGCAGGATTTTCAAACAGAGTGGGACAATGTCAGGGTGGACCCAAATCTGGACCCATTTTTAAAAATTTTACCCATTTTTGCCATCATGCATTCAACACGAGTCTCAAGCTGTCGTGTGATACATTGGATGGTTCGTTATCATGTGAAACTACATCTGGAAGCAAGAATGTTGTTGTCGATTGCAAAGTTCGAAATCAACACTGGTTGTATTGATAGCCTATTTAAGAGAATCAAATAGCTTGTCATCATCTGTGAAATAACATCTGGAAAAATATATGAGTTATTATTGTTTTTAATGCATTGATTGGTTACCGTATTTTAACGGTTTTCTTTTCATATTCTCTTCATACTGTTTGACCGTGTCTTGAATGTGTCTACTTTATAGGGGTTTTTTTAACAGTCAATACTCTGTTAATCTAACTAATACCGTTTAAGGCTTAATTAGCTTGTAATTAACCTAGTAATTATGTACATCATTGCAAAACGTGATTCTGTTGATATTATCTTATTATAATCCTTATATTATTTTAATCCTTATATTATTTGATTCCTTTATTGAGGAATTCAATTCCGTATTTTTTTTTTTCTTTACTGTGATTTTAGTTACAGACTGCAGTAGGCCTTATATCTTTACAATTTTACACAGCATTCTGAATTCTTTTGTGTTGTGGATTCCAATCGGCCTATAGATCATATTGTTGACATAGCTATTCAATATTATTAACTAGTGAGATAAACTGAAAACACAATAGATTAATAACGCTTCGTATGGTATGCCGTCTTTTCTACCGGCCCCCTGCATTCATTCTCCAAGTGTTTGCATAAATTACTCGTGCTACCACAAGAGGGCGATCGACTTGCCTCTCATTCGACAAAAGTTTTACCTGGGCTGCTGCAAGGATCGAAAAGGAATAACATTTCAGTAGGCGTAGTGCCTAGGCCTTGCTTACCCAATGAAAAGGTTATATTGAATGCTTGTTGATATATCAAATGAATTTCTGAATTGTGTCTTTAAAAATCAATGTTAAAGACAGCTTTAATCTGCAATGTTTGTATAATCGCAGTGCTTATAGGCCTAGCCTACCACCCATACATAGGCCTACATAGTGTTGTTTTACTGTTGAAATGTTTGTATCTCCGAGCTGATGAGAGGACTTGGCCGTGGCTATTCTATTCCTTTCTATGCCTAGGGCTACCACTAGGCTTGTGCTTAGCATGCTTGGCTAGGCTACGTTTCCGTGCACTAGGCCTAGACCCATTTTTTACCAGGCATTTTTGAAAGCTGAGTCTTAAACTATTGCTGTAAATAGCTTAGTAGAGTCCTAGTATGCCATCTGGGTGGGGAAATAGGAGCAGTTAAGTTGTCAGTCGGGGTCCACTAATATTATAATTTGGCCTAGGCCTAGCTAGGAAACGCATCATCAACCACATCTCCCAGACCAGTCATAGGGAGTCGTGAAATGGGGGAGGGTGCTGATGGGGTACCCGAAGGTGATGTGGGCAGGCTCGAGGATTAGATGAGAGGGAATGGTGCTAGCTAGCAAAATACGTTGATTTATTTTAAGATGATTTAATTACTTGAGCCGCATGTAACTTTTGGGGCGGGGTGGGGGGGGGGGGTGAGAGGCGACTGGAGGGTGCGAGTATTTTTTTTGTTGGCAAGTGCCACCCCAGACAAAAATAAATTGGGAGGGAGTTGCATAATACATTTGAACTTGCCTATCGAATCCAAAATGCATTGAAATGTTTGATTTATTGTTAAATATGGAAAAGATAACAATTTAGAATGTAAAATTATTCGACTTACGCAAAGTTGGCTTAGGCAAGTTTAACTGTACATGCTAAAACTTCACAGAACCCACAGATCTCCCCTCTTTTCAAGGTTACATTGAGTCCTGGGATTCCCACAAGGGCTTTAGCTCCGACCCAGGACCACGCTGGTTATCTCCAGAATTTGGCAGACCCACTGGTTCATCCAATCCTGGTGCCACCCCTCATGTGTGATAAAATTCCTTGTGGAAATAAAAAAAAAAAATTAATTTTGAAATATTATGGTATTTTTTTACAGTAGTTTTCAGGGGATGCTGCTACTAGCTAGGGATGTATGCACATTTTAATAAGATAATGAATTGCATGATTGAGCACTATCAAATTTCAAAATAAAAACTGGAAACCATCATTTTTATTGATTTTTCATATGAACTAGTCTAAAATTTCTTTCATATTTTTATTCAAAGCTCAAAATATTAATAAATAAATTGCATAATTTGGCTACCATATAAATGTAAACTATAAATATACTAATTTTTATAGTAAATCTGTATTCAATACAGATACAATTTTCATTAATTGATGGTCTTTTCATGAAAGAAAAGGCACGTAGTAGTAAATTTCAGAGCATGGGTTTGCCTTCACTGCATCTGTGTTTCAAGTGATAAACGTGTGCTGTGTCATATGTCATCAATTCACAGAATATATTACTGATAATATTCCTTTTTTATTACAGAATTTTTTTACAAAGAGGAAATGCAAAATGTCTGTGGAAGATGGTATGATGTCCAATTCAGTGGATGAGAGAAGCCTGATACTGGAAAATGAATGTTTAGATAAATATATAGACCAACAAAATAGTAAGTTTTGTCTAGATTGGTGCTACATTTATTAGAGAGTCACATACCTTCAGTAATGTAACAATTATTAATAAATTATATAGGAAAAGCACAAAAAGAACTAGTATGTATTTACTCCACAAGCTCATCACCACGAGTATGGCTGCTCCAGGAGATATGTCCCAGGCATGAGTGGTGTTAGCGGGGGTGCCAGATAGCTATGTAATTAATCTATAGCCTTTTTTGGATAATATTATTGTATGGTCATTTAACCAAGATATTTGAAGATGTTGTTTCTGTGATACTGTATATCCCTCCCCTAATTTCCATTTTTTCTTTATTAAAACATTTATCTCGTAAATAAAATATTTGCCTTTTCAAAGTTAAAGTTCAACTTCCCTTCTTGTGCAAAAGTTACTTTAAACAATAATTAGAGCCTAGGCCTTAGGCATGCGTATCGTATAGCAATATAGCCCCCTCCCCCACCTGTACTCTGAAACTCAGCAAAAAGGGCTTCAATACATTGTAAATATGCATTAATCTAATTATTATAAACCATGGAAAAATATTGGCATGAATTTTTACGCAAAAAGAAAAAAATTTGAGAAATAGAGACTGAGGTCTCCCCACGAAATGAGACGCATCGTTGGTGAAATCATATTGAGATATTCACCAAAATAGGTCAAAGGCAACATTTTTACAAAATTTTGATTTTAATGTTTTTGAATAACTTGATACTTATATTTTATGATTTTGTACTTTTTAAGTGAATTTTCTTACTAAAACATTGTTCTCTGCACATATTCTGTAACTCTAGTACTATTATTTGAGGCCGATTTTCTCAAAACATGGTTCTCATACACCTGAATTTTAAATGCTCACATCTCTGGATCTATTATCCTTAGGGAAGTCATTCAAAGATCAAATTAAAGCTTATATTGTGATCTAACAAAATATAATATAAACCATTTTTTGATTTTCTAACGATGAGACTCATTTTGTAGTGAGACCTCACATAGGAGATTACAATTTTATCGATGACTTCTTCGTTACTAGTCAATTTCAGAGGTTGTAGATAGCATCCTCTGGAATGGTCTTGCTTTCATGTATACAATCAGGAAAGTGCACCCTCTCTAATGAGAATAAATGTCAAAATCTCAGTCAGAACAAATTTGAAATAATTCCAATGAAATATTATATTTCACAAGTGTCAATACTGGCAACAGAAAATATCATGTTGGCCGTTATTATGCGTGATAACAGAACCTAAATCGAGGTAAGGTTATGCCTAGCCTAGCAGTGTTGATAGGCCAATGTTTCCGGCGCCTAATATATTTCTTCGCTGACCTATCGCAAAATCAAACATAAAAAATTCATGCGCATTTACTTTTTGTGTGGAACACAAAAAAATCTCAAAAATTTCAGTCTTATTTTACATTTTTTTCATGTTTAGGAATGTTTAAATTCAGTTAAAATAGCAATTTTGTATTATTATTATTTATAAATCTATAACATAGAAAAATCAGATTTTTCTTAAAAACTGAAATTTTGCCGGGAATGGGGCTTTAAGTTTTCATTGGAATAAGGATTTAGTTTCGCATTCCCAATTTTTACACCTCAAGGCCATTTTACATCCCCCAGACCAAAACCATTGTACGCCCCTGCAGAAGATATTAATCAAAGTTTAGCAGCATTATGTTTTTATGTGTACCATATTTATAGAAGGTGACCTTCCTGTCCGTCCTGAAGGTAGGATGATATTCAGGAGCCATTGTAAATTAAATGAAATATAAATGTGATAATATTCGCAAGAATTCTAAATACATTCTACCATCTAAATATCCACTTCTCTTCATACTACAGTATGTAACCTTGTCTTTTTACATACTTGTCTTTTTATATGCTTAAATTCAGAATTTGCAAGTACAGGAGAGCCGTTTTGTCCAACCCGTTTTGATTGCTTTATGTGCTGGCCTCCAACACCCGCTAACCAAACAGCCTTTACATCATGTCCACCAGAAGTTGATGCCAGGTTTGAGTTAAGCGGTGGTAAGATACATTTATTTGTAGTAACGTACTCGCGTGAATAAGCGCCTCGTTTGAATAAGCGCCCCTCCTAATGTGAAAATTGTCTTAAGCGCCCCGTTTGAATATAGCACCCCTCGATTCCTAAAAAATTCAATCATACAGTACTGTACATTACCAACTAATAATTTTCTGCATCAACTATTCGCATCTATCTTAGCATTGTCAATCGGTCAGTCCATCTGCCCATCTGTCGGTCTATCAGTCTCCATTAAGTTTAACATGGTTTTCAGTTTGATGCATCTTTAGAATCCCGTTCTTGTTTTATTTGCTACCCTTTTTGGATTTAGAACTACAGTATTTATTATCTAAAATTAAAATACTGTATGGCCATTTTCAGTCAACAAAAATTAACTGACCTCATCACTCTCGTATCTAAGCAAGAAATCCTGCAATGATTCTGCTAATCTGAATTGGCAGATGGCCAACATGCTTACCACTACCAACACCACCGCCCACTCAATTTCCTCTCTGTTTTTCAGAATAGGACCCTCTAGACGCTCGAAAATGGCACTCTCAGATGGTAAAAACATGCTTTTTCAAAGCAGTGTTCCTCTGCAAAAAATTATTGACTTCCTCTCGACGGGGGCTATGCTCTCCCTCTCTCCTCACAGGCATCGCAAAGGTCTAATCAAGGACCTATAGTCTATTCTATACTTGGAGTCGCAAAGCAAATTATGATTTTGGTACCTCTAGATGCCCGGAAATGCTACTCATTCAGACTTAAAATTTGAATACTTTATGTCCATTTAAAAAAAAAAATGTTTACAAATGCAGGGGTCCTGGCCGGCTAAGCAAACCTGGCCGGCTAAGCAAACCCACCCCGCTGGATTAATATGCTATACGTCCTACAGTCGATGTCAGTGACACATTATGCTGTTTTTTATCAGCAAAGCCCTTTTGGATCAGGGTGCTATAGAGCGAGGACCCTACAGTATAGAGCGAGGACAATATGGGTATGGGCACCAAATGGGCCCCTAAGGATCAGTGGCCCTTGGAGCAAATTTTAAGAATAGGCCCCTCTAGACGCTCGGAAGTGGCACTCTCTCAGACAGTAAAAATGCTTTTTCAAAGCAGCGTTTCTCGACAAAATTATTGACTTCCTCCCGACAGCAGTTATGCTCCGTCGTATGCTCCTCCTTAGACACCCCTGGGGCGGATGCAGGATTTGGCGGTTGGCGTGAGGGTCCACCTCACTGCCCCCACCATGGTTGGGGCTGAGGAAATAGACAATTTTGAGAATAGGGACCTCCCAGGCGTTGATCCAGAGTTTTAGTTCGGTTTCCAAGAATCGTTCACCCTATCTCCAACAGTCGTGTCAGTTGTGGTTCACAGACGAATCGGGGTGCCTTTACGATTGCGCAGGGCAGCTAGCAATGCACCCTCATTCGTCTGCGTTTGCAACGCATTCGGAAAAGTTAAACCAAGTTCAACCTTCTCGACAACTGTCAGCGACTATTGCCGGTAGGGTGAGCGATTATATGGAAACCGAGCTTTACCCTGACTATCGCACATAATGGGTTCCCTGAGTGGGCGGGGTCATGGGAAGAAAACGTAATGTTTGCTTGTTCCGTCGCTGGAAGATTATTTTAGACGTTAGGGGGAGGGGGGGTGGGTGGTTTGCAGTAGTCTTGGGGTTCTCCTAGCTTTGCAAAGTTCTGTTTTTTCTAGATGCAGAGAAGTGCACTTACGTGCATTATGAGACTTCTATTGATGAATGAATACACACTGAATTAATAGATTTCCCCCATTTTAGCATGGACAATTAATAATTGCGATGATGAAGATGATGAAGATGATGATGTGATGATGATAAGGAGGAGAAGGCATCGTAGCAGGTGACGACATGCTCCTGTGCAAGGTTAATTAACAGGCCCTTTGATATGAGTGTCAACTGAGGCCCGTATCGCGAATTCATCAAATTTTCAATGCACACAATCGGACAACTGTAATTATCTATAAGTTATATAATCAGTACATTCTCGACTGTCATGAAAATATTATATATCTAAAAAATTATGTTATATGCATGCTCAGAAGTGGAAATTCTAACCTAAAAGTTTGATATGTTTCATGTTGTTTGTTTAATGGGATTTAATGATATTATACTCTAATATGAACAGAGGAAGAAGAACACTTTGTCACCTACAAAGTTCAGACCCACATTTATATTTCCTTAGGCCTAAATCATAAGGAAGTCCGCTCTATATCCAAATTTGAGGAAATTATATGTTTTATGCATGCACCGACGTGGGAATTTTGTTGTATTTAAAAAAAAAAAAAAAAAAAAATATGTTTTCAGTGCACGCGCTGACGTGGAAAGATTAACCTAATAATCTTGTTAAAAATGCGGTTCTAAAATTAATCTTATGACTACAACTTTTAAGTTAACTTCAGAAAAAATATTAATGCATTTTTATTATACTGTACCGTCACCAGCTGGGAAAGTAATTAAATATGCATTGGTTGATTGCCAACATTTCAATGCTTAGTGGTTGGATGGTCGGATATAATAATGTGTAACTCTCATAATAATTTCATATTTCGAAAAATTGTTTAGAGCAATGATCACGTTCCATGATAGATTACATCCACAGGGTGCCCCTAAGCCAAAATTTCAAAATTAAGTAAATTGCATTTTTCCGAATTACGACAGACTGAGTAGATTAGGCCTACTGGTTAAAATGTAAAAAATTAAGATTTTATTTTTAAATCACAGAAAATCACAAATTTATATTCAGTATATTGTCCACTGTCTTGGATATGTGGACCTTATCAAATTTGGTTCGGTGCGTTATACACACTCTTCGTAACACCCCAACTACTGGATATACGGGCCTGGAAACTTTACATTTTACCTGCCAATTACAGTTTTATACGCATATTTGATATCTTCTCAATTTCTCAGTATTTTTTTTTAAATTCTTTTTCCACTTCCAACACTGTATGATTTGAAATTTACATACCATTTCCAGCCATCTAGGAATCCAAATTTTCCCGGGAGAGGTCCCCAGGACCCCCTTTCATTTTGAGGGTTTTTTGAGACATTTTGAACCACCCTCTTTCCTATCCTGGATCCGCCCCTGATATTGTTGTCCTGTTTCCACTCCTTGCATGTTGTACCATGGAGGTATTATTGAGAAGGCTCGAAAAAGCTATGCGCACGCAGCGCTATGCAAATGAGGCAGGAACAAAGCTGTCGCAGCACATGGAAGACCCTTGCAAGATGCCTTTGAAGTCCGATGTGTCCACCAAATGCTCAGCAGGCTTAGTTTACCAAAAAATTGAACATGGCGAAATGGAGAGCACCTTCTTTTCTCAATGCGCACAACTTACAGTCAATCACTATGGCTGCGCAATCATTTCCACCTTGAAGCTAATACATTTATCTTTCAAGAAATACAAATATTTTCTTCAAAAAAGAATTTCGAATTTAATGAAACATTTACACCAGCTTTAAAAGTATGGTACATTTCAACTTGAATTTCCATAAATTGGATAAAACTCGATAATTCTGAAGGAGTGATTGAGGATTATTAAACTAAGTCATTTTAGGGTTAACAAGGGTTAAACTATATTCGAAAAATTCAATCCAAAATCAGAGTAATTTTTAGTTTTACGCTGCCTTAGTTTTATAGTCGAACCAATCGATCTTTAGACAAAATTATAATGAACACAGAAGTAATTGTAACAGAAGTATTAATACGGAATCTGTTTCTGAAATATACACATAAATAACATACTAAAAGTCCAAAAAACATCCAATCAGGGAAATATTGTTAATTATAAAGATATTTAATGAGTTAAAACCAAGCGGGTTATCGCTGAGAGTGCAATGGTGCAGTTGCACCCCCTAAATTGTATTTTAAAAAGTAATTGTTATATTGTATTGTTGATATATTATTTTTATCATTGACAAATATAGTACCAATAAGATTTTAAAAGTATGAGAGTGCAGTTTCCGGCCCCCTTGAGGTCCATATTCTTAAGATTTTCGCACCTCAGCCCCAACCACAGTGGGGCTGATGTCGTGTGGATTAATTTCTCACACACCCCCTACCACCAAATCCTGCATCCGCCCCAGTATTTCCTGCTTTAATTTAGTATAGAACTCTAATGCTTTATTGAGATTAATTTTTTTTCATAGGAACGGCAGACAACTTTTGTGGTGCATATGGTAACTGGACTGAGATAACCTACAGCGATTGCGAACACATTTTGACGTCTAATACGGTTTGCCGATGTCATCATTGCGATGTAAGCAATCTACCAAGTATTTATATTTGTTTATGTTAAAAAGGAGATGGTTATAATCAACATTAAAGAAAAATGCATATATATAATTACAGCATTACCGCAAGACAGAGAGTTTATCTCTATATATTTAATTTTATCTCTATATGATTTAATTATAGATAAAGTATCTTTCAAAAAAAATCCTGTTTTGTTAAATCCTTAAGAAAAGGGCGTATAATATTGATCTCTGTTTTTTGCCATCGATGAAGGACTTGTGCTGTCCAACTTCTTTTACTTTTTTTTTTTATAAGATTCCTCTTCTTTAACATTGAAAATTTAGGGATATAACATTAACACATTTTAATCATTTTATTTCTTTGAATAGGCTTTACAATATATAATGCTAGTTGGATACTCAGTATCCCTTATTGCTCTCGTGGTGGCTTTCTTCATGATCGTTGGGATAAGGTTAGCTGATTTATTCTCAGTTTCTGTCGAATTTACTTTCTTAACAGTATTTATTATACTGAATGAAAAAATTAATTCCAACTTAATATAAACAAATGTAATCAATGTATAGGTTGGAGGTCAGAGATTTGATTGACTCTGAATTGGTAATCTTCATTAATTATTGAATATGTTATTTTGATGTGAGTTTGCATCTGGAAAATATCATAGGAGTGATACTTTGCCCTACCTGATGTGTTCGTACCAAATACTCAGTACTCCTATGAAATTCCTGACGCAATCTCACATTGAAATAGAACTGGCAGTACCCACTGCTACTTGGGGATCAGATTCAACACTAGTCACTATTGAAAGCTTTATTGGTGAATGTAAACAGGGTAGTAATGGATAATTAAATGCTTTAAATTTATATAATTAGGAAGTAATATACACATCTTATTTGTTGAGATTTCAAGGCAGCGGCGGGCATAATAAAGAAAAACTTCTATTCTTTTTAAATTTTCCATTTTTTCGTGGCAGCGGGTGCGCTAATTGGCCAAAAATAAAATTATATTTTTATTCGAAATTATCACTATTGGTGGGTTCACTATTAAACAGGGTATAAAGAAAGTCTCAACTAATAATAGTTAAATAAAAAAACAAAATTAATAATAATATTAGTAATAAGTAATTAATGACAATGAAAGCAGTGGCGATGATAATAATATTGACTCTTTGGTTGGGATAATGTTAGGTTCTATTTAATTTTATTTATTTATTTATTTTTTTTTATTTTATAACAATCATCCAACAGGAACTCTTCGTTCCCACTTACAGGCATAAATTGCTATAAACATCCAAAATATAATCAATACAATAAAATTACAAGATATAAAAAGATGATTATAATAATAATAGTAATAATAATTATTATTATTATTTCTATAATTATAATTAATATTGCTATATTTACAATAGATATGTAAATTACTAAAAAGTATTTATAATTACAATTAAAATAACGTTTAAATAACACTTTAAAAAAACATTACAAATTACACTTAAAACACATAGCACTAATGAGAAATATAATTATTAAGGTGACATTTAAACATATTTTAAAGAATTAGAAAAGATATCAACTTCAGGACATTTGGTAACAAAATCATTGTACAAACTAGATAATCATGAAATAAAACCATTTTTACAGACATTAACACTAAAATGTATCTTCAATCTTTTTTTTTAGAGCTTTACGAGTAAAGAGGAATAAAATACACGCAAACCTCCTTGCCTCGTTTATTTGTCTGTACACACTTACTCTCTTCTCTCTCATCCTCTACTTTTTTGTTGACCAGGTATGTATAACTTCATTTACTATATATTAACCATTTTTCCAGACTAGGTTATCTAGCATTGCTGATAAAACACCACACAATGGATCATTCCGCTATTATTGCTACGGTCAATAAGCATAAGTGTAATAATAATAATAATAAGAATAGTTGGATTTATATAGCGCTCGACACCGGAGTTTTAAAGTGCTCGAAGCATGGACCAGTTATTACATTAACTTTCTTCTCCCCTAAGGGTTTCTTTGTGTCTGAGCTACCAGGCGAACCGGTATATTTCTGTCACTGTTTTGATTGGTCATTTGTTAAGTTTGATTGACACTCCGGAAAGATCCATTATATGAACAGGGAAGAACGAATATACAGTAGAACCTCGTTTTTACGTACCCCAGTTATACGAACCCTCGGTTTTACGTACGCCTTGAATGGACGATGACGTCATCAAAACCAGAGCAACCATAAGTAAAAAGGCTATAACAATAAACTATAACAATAAACAAACCATAATGCAACGTTTTTTCATTAAACAGTAACGTTGATTGAGTCTAATACCGGGTTGTTATAATCTAAAACCACGTGAAATTGAGTGAGATGAACAACTACCGATGGTGCTCAAAATAATTGCTTTCCTCCTTAGCTTCTTGTGGCAAACCATGGAAAAACTTGTCTGGTCGAATTTTCTACACGAAGCTGAGTAGGCATAGATTCGTACATGAATGCTAATTGCATAGAACATGGTTGCTGTTTCACGTACACGAACGCTAATTGGTTGGCTCGCCCAGTGCAGCGCACATGGTTTTAGATTGTCAACAACACCACAGCTCTGTTGTTTAGAATAGGCATGAAGGAGAATTCCCAAGTTATACCTTTGTCATATAGGTAATCTTACAATATTTTCATGTTCTTTAGTTAAATAAAAGATATAAAGTGATGAATTAATACACTAGACACATGGTTTTATTTGAACACTTTATTATGACATCGTAAAGTGATGAATAAAAGCACTAAACACATGGTTTTATTTGTAGGCCTAGAGGCTAGGTCTAGCCTACAGTAGGTAACATCATTCATTCATACGTTTATTGAGCGTTACGTACGTATTAGGTCAAGGGTTACCACAAATTTAACCCAACCTCTATTTTACGAATCTCCCGATTTACGTACGCCCTCCGGTCCCGTACCGTACGTAAAATCGAGGTTCTACTGTGTATGTATGAAGTGTATAAAAAAACTCAATTGCTACACCCCCATTCAATTTAAAGCATTCTAAATTTCCGCACGTGCATTAGCTGTACTAAAGGTGGCCGCATGAATGCCACACCATAACTTAGTTTAAGGAGTAGGAATATATTTAGCCACATATTATTTTGATATTTATATCTTTAAACTTATTTTTTCATTGTGATGTGCATAAAGGTCATGACAATATGTGCCTTATAAGTCCACCATTATTATTATTATTATTATTATTATGCTTTTCTGAAGTTCTGTCTACACTCAACTTTATATGACAAACATATGTGATATGCCAGTATTTGGCTGTAATATGACCTTATGCCCATATATGGCCACATCACACACATTTGTCACATAAAATTTAATGGATTGGACAGAGCTTAATTTACATATTTGCTTGTATTATAGTGCAATTTAGTTTTAACTACAAAACAATTTAAGCAGCAATTTTAAATACTTTTATCTCTATCACTTTTTTTTTAAATAAAATATACAATGAGAATGAATGGATGAATGAATACTAGAGATGTCAATAATAGCATTGGTCTAGGTATTGCAAAAACTTCTAAAAGAAATTGAGATATTCAGTTTATTCATGCATTGTTGATATATCACCTTGTGTTTTATCGCTCTGTTAATAGATTGCCAAACAAGTTAGGCTGGTTTGGTGTTTTTTTTTTTCACATGAAGATTATAATCCTGAAGAAAGTAGTTACAATCATTCATAGTTGCCAATATTTTTTGAGGATAAAACAGTGCCTGGGGAGGTCTTTAATTAGCAATTTCATCTTCTCTGATATTCTTTACATTAAATATCAATTTTGCTTCTAGGTTAGTTTTTATAATCAACTTTTCATAAAAACTAATTAATTACGCTTTAAATTGGTAAGACTGTATTAATTCTGTCTCTTATACACATCTAGATGTGTATAAGAGACAGCTCCGGAAAGATCCATTATATGAACAGGGAAGAACGAATATACAGTAGAACCTCGTTTTTACGTACCCCAGTTATACGAACCCTCGGTTTTACGTACGCCTTGTATGGACGATGACGTCATCAAAACCAGAGCAACCATAAGTAAAAAGGCTATAACAATAAACTATAACAATAAACAAACCATAATGCAAAGTTTTTTCATTAAACAGTAACGTTGATTGAGTCTAATACCGGGTTGTTATAATCTAAAACCACATGAAATTGAGTGAGATGAACAACTACCGATGGTGCTCAAAATAATTGCTTTCCTCCTTAGCTTCTTGTGGCAAACCATGGAAAAACTTGTCTGGTCGAATTTTCTACACGAAGCTGAGTAGGCATAGATTCGTACATGAATGCTAATTGCATAGAACATGGTTGCTGTTTCACGTACACGAACGCTAATTGGTTGGCTCGCCCAGTGCAGCGCACATGGTTTTAGATTGTCAACAACACCACAGCTCTGTTGTTTAGAATAGGCATGAAGGAGAATTCCCAAGTTATACCTTTGTCATATAGGTAATCTTACAATATTTTCATGTTCTTTAGTTAAATAAAAGATATAAAGTGATGAATTAATACACTAGACACATGGTTTTATTTGAACACTTTATTATGACATCGTAAAGTGA